CGGGAGGCCGCCCGCGGGAAGGATTTCGTTTCGTTTCCGGGACCAGCCTGCTGCTCGTGTTACGTTTTTAAATTTAGCGCCAAGCAAATGCGCCCAGAGCTCTCGCGCCCGGCCTGCGGGCACCGGGAAGGGGCCGCGGCCTCTCCCCTCCGCTTCTCGGCCAGTGGTAGGTGCTCGCCGCGCGCCGAAGGGCGCCGAGTGACGCGGCGGCGGCGGCGGGCGGGGTCGCCTGGGCGCCGGCGCTCAGTCGCAACACCCAGCGGCCCTCCCGCGAGCTGGTGGCGCGGCCTAAGGGACTCCCGAGTGGGAGAGCGGGCAAGGATCAGGTCCGCGGGGCGTGGGCCCCGAGGATCGATGTCGCCTGCCACAGTCCGAGGACGGGCGGACTCGCTGTCACAGCCGTATCTTAACGTTACTCTTACGTGCGGTCCCAGATTCTTGGTGAATGTATCTTGATCATCGGTAGCATTCCGCGTTGGAGTTAATGTCGGGGTGCCGCGTGCGTTGTGAGGCGTAAGGCATGCCAGCCCCGCTCAAATCGGGCTCAGTCTTCATCCTAAAATGAAGTGCACAGTTTGGGGCTCAAAATATGAATTTGTGTTTTTGAATAATCCTTTGTAATGAGTTAAAAATTAAGACATTTAAAAATGATGTTTAAAAGTTAGATTCGTGAAGTTTTGGGATTCAAACTTTAAAAAATATTTTAATTGAAAAAAACGCTTGGAACATGGTTTTAAAAGAAGAAAATAAATATTTTAAACTCTAACAAAAAGTATGTTTCCCTCCTTCCCCAGATCTTCAGTCCCCCCCCCCTTCCCCCGGGGCAATTGCTGTTAACATTTCTTGTTTATTCTAACAATATTTTTATGCAAATACAAGTTCATATGTCTTATTTTTTGCACAAATGGAAGAGTAATATACAGAACTATAGGTACTTTGCTTTTCTTGTTTAATCTTGAGGATGGTTAAATTCAGCAGCACTAGATCTATCCGCCTTCTGAAAAGATTAACTTAAGTCCTGTTTTCTTTGGCAATAAACGCAGATGAAGTTGACCGCAGGACACAACTGGTGGAGAAGAGGCCTTTCTAGCTGAAAAGCGGCACCCCAATGCCAGTTCTGGGGCAGGCTTTGATCTTCCCCCTCCCACAAAACCTTACTGTAGGAAAAGCCGTGGTGTATAGGCCAAAACCCCGGGCACACTGTAGTTATTCCTAACAGCTACATAAGAGGCATTACCATAGTTTCCTTGCTCTGCCGTTCTTAGCTGTTTTCATTTTGATTTTTTTCCTGATCCTTTCTAGCCCTTGGCTGTATGAAAATGTGTTTTTATGTGGGTGTTTCCATAGTATAATGACAATTTTGTCTGCGTTTCTCACCTAGCATTGCCATGAACATGTTTCCCATGGTATCCAGAGCTATCCTTGTCAATGGAGACGTGGTATTTCACGCTGCTGATCTACCAAAGTTCCTTAACCATCCCCTAGCATGCAATATTTAGATTATTTCAAACTGTTATAAATAATGCTACAATATATACTATATACAGACTATGTAGCAGTTTAAAGCAATGAACCAGATGTACAAATAGCAACATCAAAATTTTATATCGAAATTTAAAAAATTTAGATGCAGGAAATGATTTATAGCAGGGTATCATGTAGGTAAATCAAAAACACACATAAAACAACACTATATCTTTTATAGGAGTACATGCATATTTAAGGCCATATATCAAACACATGAAAAAATGAGTGTCTTTAAAATGAAGAGGAATGGAATAAGAGATGGATAAGGAATAAGGGACAGGAGAGGTCAAATAAAAGAAGGGCCAAGCTTACATGGGTAATGGTCACTATGTCCTATGAATGAGAGTACAATTAACTCTCTGACCCTTCTCTAAACAATTTCCTTTATTTCGCCCACTTCCTTTTATTATTATTATTATCATCATCATCATCATTATTATTATTACTGTTATTAAAGTGTCTCCTGAAAGGGGGACCAGCAGTAGTGTGGAGACTGACTCTAGATCCCTGTTGTTCTCAGGGTAAATTCTAAGGTACTAAGCTTTGAACACATGGCCCTTGGGATCTGGTCCTTGCTGGACCCTCCAGGCAGGTCCCACCGCCTCCCTCCCTCCCTGCCCCGTTCACAGTGTGTTTTTGTCCTCTGCCACGCCCAGCACTTGGCTTTGTATTCCCAATGCTGAGACCCCCCTGCTCTCCATGAGCCTCATTGCTCTCCCTTCTCTCTCATCCTCCACCAGCACCAGGACAACTTTTACTCGTTCATAAGATCTCACTAAGACAATGCTTTCTGCATAGCACCTCTTTTTCTGCCTCCTAACACCCTCCCCAAGAATAAGTGAAATGACTCCAATCTTCCCATTAATTTCCCGAGGCAGTGCAGCCAGTTAATTCCTTTATGCAAGGACAGCATCTAGTAATTCACCACTTCATCCTCAAAAACTAATAATGGCTCTCAGAGGACTAACTGTGCCCAGTACTGCGCCAAACAATTACTTCAGATGATCTCTTTCAGCCCCAACAGCCCTATGGGTAAGTATTATTATGATTACCCACATTTTACAGAGGAAGAACGTAGAGTTCAGAGAGATCAAGTAATTGCCTGTGATGGCACAACCAGTAACTGAGCAGGAATTCCAGCCCAGGTCATAGGACTCCAGAGATTGGGCTCTCAACCTTCCTTTTCTCCTTTCCTCCCTAATGTCCCAATGCCTAGGTCAAAGTTGGATGGGCATATAACGTGCTCGGCAAGTATTTTTTGAGCAATTATTTATGTACATAGATAGGCAGTAATGGTAACACTCAGTGGCTTGTATTCCCAAACTGTATAAATAAGAACAAATAGATTACATTCAGTATATCATAAAATATTCCATAAATTAATTTTTATGTAGTGTGTACTAGTCACACTAACATGCAAAGGAAGGAACAAGCAGGTTGTTCTCCAAAGAATAAGAAGGGAGTAGCAACCTTAATACCTCTGAGTAGAGAATCATAAACTTTTCTAAATGCCGGAAACAACAGGTGTTCATTTTCTAGCCAAAAAAGAAAAAAAGGAACTGGGTGGGGGAGAGGGGACAGTTCAGTTTCAAATGACACTTAGTAATGGTTAGTGGTGATCAGAGCTGAGATTGAGCTAAGGGTGGTGGAAGAACATTTTCCCCTTATAGATTATTAAAAACTTAGAAGAATGCTTCTTTCAAAACAAAATGGAAATGGAAATCCACATTTATCATCATTTTTATCGGGAGAAATGGTTGTTATCTTGTTTTTGTCTTGTTACCAAATGCTCATCTAGTGACAACAGAGGAAGCAAAACAGTCCTCAAGCATGAGATGAGGAGAAGAGTCAGCTCTCGAAAGGGTCAACTGTTTAGGAAGGGGACCAATGAATGGAACTGAATCATTCTTTCTAGGGAAATATTCCCTTTATGCTCTCTTATCCAAACCAGCCTAAAATTGAATTGTGCTTGTTGCAAAAGGGGCAGAGTGACACCTAGGCACGCATACACTTGTGAGATCTGCCAGTTGTAGAACAAGAAGGACTGCAACTATTGAGAAAGAAAAGGAGCAGTCCCTGAAATCTGGAAACTGGCCTGGTCCTCACAGCTAGACCCTGTGATTCTCCCACTAGACATGAACAATCTCTTAGAATACCAGCCTCTAACAAGACTACTCTGAGACCATGATAAAATAAAACCAACCAAGCCCTCTTTGCAATTTTGTGTAAGCACAGACAAAAGTAAGGTGACTGTGCCACCCATGAAATACCAAACACCCCATCTCTTGGCCAAAACGAGGACTGCTACTTCTTTAGCAATTACAGCTTTGTTCTCACTCTGTCCTCCCCTACCTGTGGACGAGAGCCACTGAGATACCAAACACAGAATTGCCCTGCTGAATCCCTGCTTCAGATCACCCAACCAAAGCCCGATCTTATAAAGGTCCTTTTTAGCACCATCTTACTGAGCCACCCGTGATTCCCATGCTGTGATTCTCCCTCTCGCTGCAACAAGTAACAAACAAAACTTGTTCAATTACATGTGACTTGCTGGCTTCTTTGGCTGACTCAAATTGATACCATGTTTACCCATGTCTGTGTCAAAGTATACTTTTGTGTCTGAAGTATCTTTACACATAGATAGATAGGTTCAAATGACTCAGATGATTGGATAACTACACATTTTGCTGC